ATGGAATTGCGTAATATTTTGCACACTCATCGCCTTATTCAGAAACAAACACAAATTCTTCGAGATAACCACCATCCGTCGTCTGGCTCGCCGTGGCGGTGTGTGACGTATCTTAGGTCTGATTTACGAAGTGTGCTGAAGGTGTTCCTGAAAAATGAGATCCGTGATGCTGTCACCTACACTAAACACGTCAAGCGTAAGCGGCCATGGATTTCATCTACGTTTTGAAGTGACAGAGACGCACTCTGTTTGGTTTCCGAGGTTAAATCATCACCAACTTTGGCAACAAAACGGCTCTTTTCAGGGCCACCAAGCTTATTACAGTAAAGAGTAGGAATAGAATTCATCTGCCTGTTTGTCCATATTCAGAACCAACGACCACAAAAAAAGCTCATGTAATCAAACTGGAAGTAGGGGTACAAATTATTTTGATCAACCTTGATCAACTTTGAATCGCTACGGCCGGATATTTTCGATGGAAGAAGCAACAATCTAGCATCTAATTCGACGAAGACGGCAGGAAACATTTGTGAAGCCGAGTTATTTACGAAAGAGAGTGTCGATGAAGAGAATCGATCAATATAGATAGAACCTTTTAAAAAGTGACGCGAGATATGTTTTCCGTACTGAGCTCTAATGCTACCGACGCCAGGGAGGCAGCTCCCATATCTGGACCCTATCAATCGACCCATCAGCTCAACCGGGTACCAATGGCTTTACTTCCCGAAGGAAGGCATGATCATAGATGTTATGCCTTAGAACATGCCGGTGGCTCCGACTGAGATTGGACCCAGGCCTGCTGGAGTGAGAGGTAATCAAGGCAAAACCACCGGCGCCGATATATTTCAAGGTGATATCACGGCGAATGAGATCGACCCAAATTTGAGTTTAGTTATCTCAGAAATAAGAAATAAAGCGCAGGAACTCAGCGATGAGTAAATTTGCCTCATGTTTTCCCAGATTTTTCCATGATTTTCCAGGGAAAAATTCCCAAATTTTAGAAAAGTAAAGATTGGATTCACTCAGTCTATTGGTACTACCATAAGGTAACTCGAAGACCACTGGGTCCCGAAGAAAATCATTATTATTTTTGGCTCACTCAGTACCAGAACAACGGTCCCAAGCAGTCCCAAGCTATTTCACTCACCCCTGAGCTCACCCCTGCATGTTCTGCATGAATCCACACACCCCTGATGTTATCTGTCAAACTTTCATAGCGAATCAAAACAAACATAGTGTAGTAATAGAATTTCAACTAGAATAGGGTACGTTAATCGTTTGCTTGGGACCAATAGGCTACTAAAGTGGTGAGCCAATTTAAAATCGTTAGTTTCGTATTGATTGTTGGTACTACTCCGAGACTGAATAAAATTTTCGTCAATTTCCTCATTTTCTGGCAGATTTTTTAGGTTTTCCACAGGAAACCATGAGACAAATTTACTCATCGCTGAGTTCCTGCACTTTTGGCGATTATGAGTGAACTGAACTCAAATTTGGGTCGTTTTCATTCGCCGTGTACGCATAAGGAAAAGATCCAGTGTCGCTACTTGATAGCAAACTACTCATAATGGGAGGAGCCTTTGTAGCTTTTATACCACTTTGTTGCACATCATTCTGCTTTAACCTGAAAAGATATAAAAGAGCGCTGCTGTATGACCTTAGCTAATTTTCGCTTCGGACGACGTGGTGAACAGCAAGGTGGTGGCAAGTCCACTCCTTCACACCTAACAAGCAACAAGTCGTCTGGCTCGCCGTGGGGGTGTCAAAAGTATCTCCGGCCTGATCTACGAGGTGTGCTGAAGGTGTTCCTGGAAAATGAGGTCCGTGATGCTGTCACCTACACTTAACACGCCAAGCGTAAGTGGCCATGGATGTCCTCTTCAATAAAACGGCCCTTTTCAGGGCCATCAAGCTTATAGTACGTTCAGACTACAGAGTTATAACATGTTATAGCGCTATCTTGATGGTGGTTTCTGTGTTGTAATTATTTGACAACCGTTATAACATGTTATAACTCTCCAGTCTGGACAGCGTTTTACATCAGTAAATAGTTGGAATAGAATTTATCTGTGCATGTTTGTCCATATTCAGAACCACAAGCCCTTAACCTCGCCCTTAACGACCACACAAAATGCTGTCCAGAGTTGTAATCTTGTAACCAAACTTGGAAGCAGGGGTGCAAGTGATTTTAATCAACTTTCTCTTTGAAAAAAAAATACTACAAATTTGGTACACCTACAATTTAAAAACGGAAAGAGTTGAGATAATAGATAATTGATCAATTAAAAGAACTAAATGCTCTTCACATTTATTCCGTCCACTAGCGGTCCTACGTCAAGCTTCCGTTCGTGCCCCTAGGCACAGACCCTTCTACTTTTTGTCATTGTTTGCAAAAGCTGTTACGCCCTTATTCCAGCTCTATCCACGCTAACTTGAAAGTACCCATTAATGGTTGAAAAAGACCCATTTTGAAGAAAAGTGGCTTAACTCAGTAAATTTTTTACCCATTAATGAGTATCTGTTACCCATTAATGAGTAATTGTTAATCATTAATGGGTAACAGATACTCATTAATGGGTAAAATTGTTTAATCATTAATGAGTTAAGCCACTTTTCTTCAAAATGGGCCTTTTTTTACTCATTAATGAGTACTTTCAAGTTAGCGTGTCTAGAACTATAGATACTACACGCTAACTTGAAAGTACCCATTAAATGAGTATCTTCTACTCACTTTTTGAATTCAGTCTGAACTGTGTACTTTTTCCTCATTTTTGAAAATATCTTCGGAAAATTAAAATGGTTAAAAATATTCATTAATAATTCAATGCAAAACGTGACGCCATGTTTGAGCTGCATCGAAGTCTCGATCGAAGTAAACAGTGCTAATTTCGGATAACTAAAGTATGGAACAAATCTTTTCGGTGTGGTATTGTGAAAATAGATGATCCAAGATACTTCAAAAGGATTCGAAAAACTGGAAGGTAAGGATTTTTTCCCGTTCCACGAAAGACTTCATGCAGCTTATTTTATTTACCGATTGAACGCTCACATCTTATAATTTATTACCCCCAGAAACCTGTCCTGGATAATGCCCCTTTACCAGCTGTCGCATCAATGAACGTAAAGCAGGTGTAGGAGGTGGATACGGCTGAGGAGTTGAAAATTCCTTTATGGGAGCATGTTGACAAAAGAAGACCTCATGCAAACTTGAATCAGCTGCCTCGAAGTTGGGATGTGATTTGGCTATGATCGGTTTTTATTTAATTGCTGAATAAACAAAACTTAGTGTTTTAGGATTTTATTTGAAAAACTCCAATCAATGATTTTAAAATGAACTTAGAAATATCTTTGATGACAAGGAGCCCCATGAAACAAAATTTTCGATAAAATGGGTTCTTTTTACTCATGTACAGAAAAAATGAAGGGGTAAAAATACCCATTTTTGAAGTATTCGGCGAATACTCATTAATGAGTAAAGTCAGTTTTATGCGCTGTGTAGACTAAGCAGTTATAACATGTTATAACGGTTGTCAAATAATTGCAACACAGAAACCACCATCAAGATAGCGCTGTACGCTGAACGTACTATTACTCATTTCATGAGTTAAGCCACTTTTCCTCAAAATGGGTAAAATTTTACTCATTAATGGGTACTTTCAAGTTAGCGTGTATACACGGTAACCGCAAAATACTCAATAATGACTACAAAGTAAGCATTTTCAAGGGAAACTCGGACTGCCCATTAAATGAGTAAAATTTTACCCATTTAAAGTAATTACAACTACAAAAACAAGTAGTGAGTATTCATTTTTGAATAACAAATACTCATAAATGGGTAATATTTTTACTCATTTAATGGCTAGTCCCAGTCTCCCTCAAAAATTCTTACTTAAGTAGTCATTATTGGGTATTTTGCGAGATTCGTGTAGCATGGTTCACTGCTTAAAAGTGGTTAAGAAATATTCATTAATGCAAAGACGCGTTTTTCCGTGAAGATGAAGACAATATAAATTAGGTTCTGCAGCGTGACGTCACAAATGAACTCAGTGTTAAACGGCTGAACCTTTTTGACAGTTCAGTGGTACTGTTTACAAGCACATAGTCGTTTTTTCGAGAAATTTTTTTGCTAAAGTTTCTGAATTTTAACTTGAAAATTGTCGAGGAACAGCGCGTTGCAAGGATGTTGCTCGTGAACATTGCAGAAATGCTGTTTACATCTCACTGCAGTCTAAAAAATTATCGAGAAAATCCACCCAAGAAAAAATCGACTAAGTCCACGTAAACAGTACCACTGAACTGTCATCAGATTGAGGTTAACCCCGACGGTGCAAAACCTAATTCAGTGTCAACATTTCAAAAGGGCGTAATTGCTTTTGTAAACAATGACTTTAGTCGTCAATTTCTCGCGAATGATATCTTACCTCTCCAAAATTACAATGCTAGCTGGTAGAGGAAACATTCATCTACCTGGTGGTGTTATTATTTTTCATGAGTGAGCTTTTATTTACGAGAAATCTATGGCTAAAGCCATTGTTTACAAATGCAATTACGCCCCTTTGAAATGTTGGCACTGAATTGACCAATGCACCGAATGAACTCACGAAAAAATTTGACTTTTGAGCGGTGCCGTGTTTACTAAAAATGAACACATGATGTAATGCTCGCGTATCTTTAGAAAAGGTTCTATCAACTTTTATAAAAAAAACTTGTTAGGCCCTTTTCTCACGAGCTGAAGAACACCCACAAAAACCAAACCACTATCGGAAAGGGGAGAATTCACCCTATCCGATGGTGTTGTTGGTTTGCATGGGCGTACTTCGGTTCGCGTGAAAAATGTCTAACAAGTTTTGTGTACATAATTTGATAGGACATTTTTAAATGTTACGCGAGTATTATTCATGTGTTCATTTTTAGTACACAGGGCACCGCTCAAACGTCAAATTTATTCATGAAGGTCATTCCGTGCATTGGTCAATATTTATGTATTTATCAAGTGCCAAGCGTGCCGAGTAGTCGTTCAGTTCAAGTGAAATTATTGTTAATTTTAACGATTTTCACCAGTTTTTGTGAAATATAGTTGGAAATATTCAATTCAGTCATTATGATGGGCATGCGTACCAATATATTCAACGAAAACTTTCTGAATGAAACTGACCAGGATGCAAACTCGGTGTTGATAGAGCTGGACAAAGGTAAGCAGGACGTTATCCCGAAAAATTACCTAGATACCTATCTATTGAAATGTTTTTCAGGTCTGAGATCTACAAAAACAGGAGAACAATGCGAGGCGATCATAAGATTCCCGAAGCTGTTTGAAAAGTATCCGTTTCCAATTCTGATCAATTCCTCCTTCCTCAAACTGGCGGAATTTTTTCGTATTGGGTAAGTTTCTAGGCGAACATAATAGCAATCAAAAGAAGGCAGAATTTCATTCGAGATAGTGACTTTTGGGAAGCGACATTAGGAGAATGTAGCCCCTAACCATTTTTTAGAGATGTTAGACCCATCTTCCCCTGAGTAGACTGTTTAATTGGTAAGGAAAGTGGAGCAAGATGGTCACATTAACGAAACTCTTATAAAATTCCACAATTTTGACCAGAAAATAATTCTTTCTATAACCCTACAGAAGCTTCATAATCCTACATGCACATCATCGTTTCGACAAACTTTAAAAAAAAATTAATTCATCAGGCACAATTTTCTACCATAGAAACAGTTTTATGGGTCCAAAAGAGCACCAGATCATAGGCATAAATAGCTTTTTTTTTGTCTAAAATTAGATAACTACACAGCACGAAAAAAAAATTAATATCGTGTGTAATATATTGAAATATGTAAACTTAATTCAAGCTATTGTATGAAATATTGATGCTATAGCAAAAAGCAGATGCAATATTACATCCGTGGATGTAAAAGCGATTTCTGTCTACATGCACGTGTGCATGATTTACACAAAGTAAATCAAATTAGGTGGTAATTTATCAATTCGTTTCTATGTGCTATTTTAACGTTTTTCATTAGGAAAATCGCAGCGGCAAATGCTTAGACGACAAAATCTATTTTTTTTTTATAGATTTTTTACGGAATAAATCCTGGATGGAATAGTCATTTTGTAGGCATGCGTTGAAAAGCGTAAGTTGATCGATATTCTTTTAACAAATTTCCTCCTATTCCGTAGAAAATTGTAGGTATGCACTGATATTGGTTTTGCACAGATAAAAAATATGTTACATAAAACGAAAACGTAACGAAACGTTGCATAAACGAAAATAATGTTGCATAACACGAAAGGATTTTGTATCCGCCAGACTATAAACATAGTGATTATAAGCAGCGCTTGCTTCCTCTTCACTGTTCTTCTCGGCGTCCGGGGACGTCACATCGACCATCACCACCTCTTCTTCCAGGACCTCAAACGCTTCCTCGTTTGGCGAAGCACCTCCAGTCACTACCTCAGCGTACACGCAGAAAAAATGGATTTTTGTTTCAGGGCTTATTGTAATTTGTTATTGATTCAAACATATTGTATCACTATTTCAACAAAACATATTTTTGAATCAACAAAATGGTTTTTGAAGTCAACAAACAGAATATTGACTCTACAACCGGTTGGTGATTCAAACATATGTTTCTGTACGTAATGGCCTCTTCTTGTTCCGCTCGTTGTTGTACTGGCTGCTTCCGATCCTTCCGCTTGGGGCAGGTATTCATCCGATGCCCCTCCGTCTTACAAAGGAAACACACAATTATGCTCCCTTGAAGAATATGTTCCCCTTTCGATTGAGGAAATGGGGATATCCTTTTTTACATCCATATATATACCCCGCACACCTATACGCATATCGAGGTGCAAGACGGCTGGAAATTTCTCCCGAACTACACGCTTTACATCACCGTATTTCCCTAGCTCCAATGCTAGATCGCTATTCGCTTCTGGAGGGAGGTTGTACACTCTTACGTATAGAACGGTGCCCCAGCAGGCGACATGCGTACCTTGACTAACTATCCATCGGAATAGTGAAAAATTAATTGTCCACATGAACTCGTTCATGATATTTCCTCCGTTATGCGATATGTAGCGATTATCTGAGTGGGATCCGCGTCGATTTACCTAAATTCGCAATTTCTTCCATAGATGGTTTCGCACATGTGTGGTAAATCTAATCGTCTGATTTATTTCCACCGACATCTACACTAGTTGTTTGCTTGACGGGACAACGGCAAAAGCGAACGAACTTCCAAACAATGAGCAAGCACCGCAACAATGAGTTGCTATCGAAAAACAGACTATCGCCTGACTCGTACCGAAAAAAACACCGCTGCTTGTGTCGACAGCTAAGAGCGAACTGGTCGTAGTATTGTTGTTTATGGAATGAATTTTAGGCATTTTTACCATTGTTACCATTATAAATTGATGGTGCTCATCTTGCCCCATTTAATATTGGATGTTTGTGTCTTCATAATATAATTTATTAACAGGAAATTTGAACATGGTATCTACACAAAACATTGAACAAGGCATTGTGCTATTGTATAGGTAAGCAATGTTCGAATCACTTTCCCTATGGTCCCAAGACCGTCACCGATCGTCGCCTACACTGGGGTTTTCAATTAAGTTTTTCATTCACGTAGACGGAACACTTGTAGATAAACAATTATCTTTAATGATAAACATATTAATTGTTGTTTCAGTTCCAACTTGTCCCGACTATGGGTGCTACGAGTGTGCCAACAAAGCGAAAAACACTTGGAAAAAATTTTGAACGTCGATGAATTTGTTAAGCGCATTTTCATGGTTATTCATTCCAACGACCCCGTGGCCCGAGCTCTCACATTGAGGTATGTTTGCTCAATATCGTTATTACGAACTGGAGTGTAAACTATCTTAACATGAATGTCTTTTAGAACCTTAGGTGCTGTGGCATGCGTCATTCCTGAGAAGCAGCAGGTTCATCACGCGATTCGTAACGCTTTAGACAGCCATGATACAGTGGAAGTTGAAGCAGCAATTTATGCAAGCGTCCAATTCGCTGCACAATCGAAGTGAGTGTCTTCTTATTATTATCTTTTAAACAAGCTTATTTTCTGATTTTGGTATAAGATCCTTCGCTATAGGGATGTGCTCGAAGGTGGCATCTATGATTGAATCCTTGCAAACACCTGTTAGTATGAAAATATTACTCATCCCGGTGCTGCGCCATATGTATCATGATGCCAATACTGCTGCTCTAGTGCGAACACTATGTCTCAATTTACTACCAAAATATCCTTCGGAACAGTTTGTTATAGCTATCATACAATCCTTATCACATCTCTCATACGTTACATCCGTGGACATACCGGATCAAGTGGATTTGCTGCTTGTGTATTTGAAGGATCCCCGAAAAAAGGTTCAACTAGCTGTGTTACAATCATTAAACAAGCTGGCTGGAAAAGGTGCTTATTTGTGGCCCAAAAGTGCAATCAATAAACTCCTCACGTTAACTATGCAATGCAGCTACACTAACATGGCATTAGATGTGGTGATTACACTTACCGGTTGCCCTACAACGTGCCATACCATGCTAAATGAGGAGAGGAATCAGATATTGGATATGTGTAAAAGTTGTCTGTTGCTGGAACACAATGTCGGAGGAAAAGCCCTAACTATTCTTACTAAATTGGTTTCCTATTGGTAAGTTATCGATATTGCTAGCCATGACCAAGTTCTTCAGCTTCCTGTACTTCCAGTTGTACCGAAAACATCGCTCCACCGACGTGTTTTGTAGAGCACCTGAACATGAACCTAGAATATTTAATCCACTCTGCATTGCATAATAAAGCACCGTTGAAGGATTTTCGAATTTACCTGAGATGCGGTATTCAGCTGTCCCGAGTGAATCAGGTTTTCGGAGAGAATTTTGCTGAAACAGTAGCGGAACTGTTGGTAGAAGACTCAGGTAAGATTGTTGCTGGAAATAATTTACCAACATAAGGTATGGTTGAAGACGAGGTTCGGTAGCTCTGTGGTTGTAACCGTTTCTGCTTACTGAGCAAATGTCTGGAGTTCAATCCTAGGTCCGTCCCTTTCCTCACATTTGTCACTATGCCTTATTCTACACAATACATTTAAAAACGAAAAATAAAAATCTACTTTAACCGATCGCATCCACTTACCACAGTGAATCTTAATCTAAAAATAATCCATACACGGCGAATGAGAACAACCCAAATTTGAGTTTAGTTCACTCATAATCGCCAAAAGTGCAGGAACTCAGAACTCCTGTGGAAAACCTAAAAAATCTGCCGGAAAATGAGGAAATTGACGAAAATTTAATTCAGTCTCGGAGTAGTACCAATAGACTGAGTGAATCCAATCTTTTTTTTCTCAAATTTGGGAATTTTTCCCTGGAAAATCCTGGAAAAACCTGGGAAAACATGAGGCAAATTAACTCATCGCTGAGTTCCTGCACTTTTGGCGATTATGAGTGAACTAAACTCAAATTTGAGTCGTTCTCATTCGCCGTGTACCTCGCTAACACACGGCTAACACAGAAGGCCGAATCACAAAAGGTCGAAGCACAAAAGGCCGAAACACAAAAGGTCGAAAATATTCTAAGGTATCACAAAAGGCCGAAAACCAAGAAGTCCGAAAACCAGAAAGGCCGAAAACCAGAAAGGCCGAAAACCAAAAAGTCCGAAAATTTATCAAAAACTGAATTTGTTGAAAGCCGCATCCAAACAATCTGTTAGCCTTTCTGCTCGCACAACTGACTCGGTTAGTTAAATGGTTTGCATTCACAAAAAAAAAATAAGCCAAGATGAAATTATATATAGAGGTGTTCTCACTTGCTGACTTTTTGGGAAAAACCAGTAAGTGGTAAGCTGCGGATAAGAGAAGGGTAAGGAAATTAGAGATGCGATAGAGGTGAACGGTTTATTTACGCATCAACAACATTCTGATTGGGTAGCGAGTTCCGCAGGCAGTTTAATGTGTGAACTTGAACGTTCAGCAAAACGGACCAAGAGCAATATCGCTGCTAATGACTATTTTCGATTTGAGATTACTTCCCATATTGAATTTCATCTTGAACGTCGAATTATCGTCATTGAATACTATCACTTTCTCTCTCATTCAGCATCGGAAGTATTTCTGCTCTTACAACTGAGTCACCTCGTTGAATGGTCCGCATTCACAAAAACGAAGCCATCTTGTCATTAAATCGCCGTTAAACACTCAAACAAACACAAAAATAAAGCTACACAAATTTTAAGTTTTTTTTTTTTCATTACGGAAATCGAATGGCGAATGCAGAATAATAATTATTGTAACTGTACTTTAATAATGAAATTTAATTTATTAAAAACAAATTAACAAATGCCCGAGTCGGGAATGCGACAAAATGGACCACTTTGTCGCTTTCCCGAGCTTTTTCGGTCTTTTGTGTTTTCGGTCTTTCGTGATTCGGCCTTTTGTGTTTTGGCCTTTCGTAGTACATAAAATACAACAACTATCCTTCCCGTGACAGTCGAGGACATGCAGAGTACAGAGCCTGAATTTATAAAGAGACGAACGACATGTCAAAATTGGAACAATGGATTATCTGTCAAAGTCATAAGAAAAGTTATTTAATATGGACCAACAGGTCTGTGTCATAAAAAGGGAGGAAAAATAAGAAAAGGAAAGTTATTCCAATCGAGCAGAAAACCTGTCAAATGGATAAGATGTCGCCTCTTTACCAAATTCAGTCTCTTTAATGCAGAGGTGTATACTTCGGTCTCTACACGGAGAACCAAAACTATCCAACGGTTTCGCCACGAGCTGTCTTCGGGCGCGGACGCATTTGCATTTTGGTCCGCAAGTAATTTGTATATAGGGTTAACTACCCCATTTCCGGCCTATTAAGCACAACCCGCACTTAGTCTTTCTTAATCTAGCGCAGTTTAGCACCAACCGGAATGTTATTATTACTGATAGCTTTCAAATTTATTTACCTTTCCGTACATACTGTAAGATTTGATAAAGAGAAACCAATCGTTGAGATATTGTCAAACGTCTAACATTGTTTCTTGACGCCAAACTCGGCCTACGGATTCTAAACTCGGCCTAACGCATTGAAACTCCATTGAAACGCCAATTAATTCACTTCGGCCTATCGGATGAAGAGAAAAATTGATTCGGTCGGAGTGCTTCTTTTGTTTTTGGGAATTATGGGTGCAAACCTTCATATCACGCGTTTTCATTGACTTCGTTCGGTAGCTTATTAACTAAAGTATCGTACCAAAATCATAATTGACTTGTTAACTCTAAAATCATGGTTTTATTTGAAGTTTTCTGCTCGATAGGCCCAAAATGGGCGATTAGGCCGAAGTAGTTCTTTACCCTATATAAATATTTTTTTTACACTTCGACAACGACGCGTGTGGGTCTCGCTGGCCATTTGTCCCTTATAGTATCTCGTCGAATATTTACAACATAAGCAGTTATGCCGTGCGGTGTAATATCATGCAGCATCAACGACGACCGCTTTCATGGTGCCAATGTGTGCTGACTGCCAGCACATTTTACTGAAGGAAGCCGACGTGAGGAAGCTGCTTCATCAACAGGAGCAACTTGTGGAAGCAATCCACTCTCAAACGGACGCGAATCACCGCATTGCTGCTGACCTAAAAAAAACTCTGCTTAGTATCAGAATTATTCGACAGCATTGAGCACCTGCTCAATGACGTAAAAGAAACGTTGGCAGTAATAAATAAAAATAATAATAACATGTGCAGCGCGGTCGGCCAGCATATGAAAACGTGTGATTCACAAGCGCACGCGACAATAACCGGCATCAACGAATCAAATTCGTTGATGTCACAAAAAATTACAAAATTACTTGACGAACGGCTATCAAGCTTATCAAATGACATGGCACTTTCAATAAAAGGGGCCGAATCATCACCTCATCATCATCATCCAGAGCCAAAACTTCTGGAAATTCTTGAGGAAGTGAAATTTGTATCTGGGGCTGTTTCTAGTCTTCAGATAAATGCTGCAGAACCTCATCAGAAGACCTTGGAGGAAGAATTAGCTGAAAGTCCTCCAGTACACAAAAATACAATATCTCCAAAAACTGACCATTCATCTCCTGGATGGCGGTTTTTAGGCAACAACTGGCACTGGAAGCAGGACTGGTCTAAATTTGACGCAAAACAACACACTTGCAGGTTGCAGGAAAAAGCTGCAGAAAACGACGAAAACAACAACAAATCCACACCAGCAGTACCAAAAACATCATCCAAGGAAATGAATACAGCCGCTACAACAACACCACCTCCGACAACAACACATCAACAATAACAACAACACCAATAACAACACCAATAACAACAACAAAAGCAACAACGACAACAACAACAACAACAACAACAACAACAACAACAACAACAACAACAACAACAACAACAACAACAACAACAACATCAGCAACAACGGAAATGGAAATATCACATGGACATCATTACCCCTGGACAAAGAATTATTAGCCGCAGCACGCATACAATTTTCTGGACCACCAAGTAAAGACAGTACACCGAAATTTATAAATTTTCAAAAAGGGGAAACTACCGCATAGAAAAACCTGACCCACCACTCCTAGACCCTATGCGCCCGCCTGTCGTAAGGCTTACGGAACAATCTGCAGCCGGCGACAGACGCTTTTTGAAGGCACGCCTGCGGTACCCTAAAATCATGGATACTGTGCGAACCTATCTGGCTTTCCTGCATAACCAACCGCCTTCAGTATGTGTCCGCGGAATAACGAAAACAAGTTCAACTTTAATGCTAGCAGCTGAAGGATTACCAACGGACACACAACTTTTGCGCGAAATTTTCCTGGACGTCCACGAAGAATCCCACACATTGACGCCCTGGCAGACCTGGAATCACACCGTGCGTTCTTACCTAGTGAACGCACACAACGACTGCAGCACACACGGGAAGCCGCATATAAATTCTACAGCACCCAAAATTTTCATCGACATTGACGCACACTTCGGAAGAAACCTTTTCATCAAACGACAACACTCTTCGGACACTTTCTGAAGAAAATGGAAATGTAAGTGTAAATAATAATAATAATGAAAATATTTTATCAACCGACGTACTTCCAACAATTTCTTCACATAAACAGAATGCGACTGAAATTTTGATTTACTGTCAAAATTTCAATCGCATGAAAAGCCCAGCTAAAATGAAGGAAATCTATCAAAATTTATTATGCTCATCCTTCTCGGTCATTCTGGCAACTGAAACAAGCTGGGAAGAAAGCGTGAAAAGTGAAGAAATCTTTGGAAATGCCTTTAATGTATTCAGAGACGACAAATTTTCATGCAACTCAGAAGAAGTCAAGCGGTGGAGTCCTTATAGCTCTTTCGATCAATTTTAACTCAGAACTCATCATTACACCAAAATTTACAGAATTTGAGCATATTTGGGTGAAATCACACATAGCCGGTGAAACGCACGTGTCCGCCTCAGTGTATTTTCCACCAGACCATGCTCATAAAAGCACTTATGAAGCCTTCTTCCAAAGTGCTGAACAAATTCTATCTGAGCTTCCTCCTGAGGTTTAAGTTCACATCTATGGAGACTTTAATCAACCCATGCTGACTTCATTCTGGACTCTGAAAATGAATGTATCTTACTCGCAGTCGTTGGGGATAATGAAACATTGCAGTTCATTTTTGACAAAAATGCTAATTTAGGACTGAACCAAATTAACCACATCAAAAGCCAACAAAATTGCTATTTGATCTTTTTACTAACGAATATTTATGAAGATTTCTGTGTGACCGAATCATAAAAGCCACTGTGGAAAAATGAAGCGTTTCATACAGCAATTGAATATTCTTTATTTGTGCATGAAAACCAAAGACCCAACGACTGCGAATACGAAAAAGTATTTGAATACAA